GGCATATTGAGAAAGTAATATATTTTAACACAAATAAAAAATATAAACTAATATAATGTAATATTCTTTATCGAAATAGAAAAGAAACAGATTAATGTAAATTTAACCTTAAAATTATATGAGCACCTTATTATATATGAGAAATATTATATATGAAATATTATACATGCACATACTCATAATATTATATGATACATATATATATATATATATATATATATATATATATATATATGACTTAATAAACTCAAGAAAAGAGTTTTCTTCGACAAATCTTTTAGAGTGCGTTTTCGTGAGTGACAACAGACAGAAAGTGTCTTAGGTTAAACAGTGGAAGATGCTGAGCTCAATCGTACGCGATGTGCAATTGCTTCCTATCAGGAGCAGTCTTGCTTAATCACCTTATGCCTTATATATATCATGAAGCAGAACGGAGAGGAGACGATGTGCGCGGTGGGGACGCGACGTGTGATTGGTTACGCTTCCTCTCCACCGCGTCCCACGTCGCGTGCTCGCTCTTTTCTCCGCTCGTCCTGCTCTCGATATAATTTTAAGGCGCTCGCGCGTAACACACGCGCACACAGACATGCGCTCGCGCATTTTCAATTTATTATATCAAAATATTTATATTAATATTTCAGTTTTTGTTATTTAGCTTCGTAAAAATAACAAATAATAAAATAAAATTAAAATTTTTAATCCAAGAATATTCATTTTATGTTCAATTTTATTTTGAGTTTAATTTCACTTTAATATTAGTTTGAGTTCAGTTTGACAAAGATATTCCTTATACTGTTTGTTCAGCATTCCATATTTTTACCCTCGTGGGGGTACAAACGAAATGGAAAGCGGTACAAACGGGTACAAACAATTAGGAAGCAGCACCCGTTTGCAGAATTCGAATATCTTTAAAATTGACAAAGTTACCCCTTTCGCGAACATTAAATACCCCGTATTTCCACCCCCTTAGGGGTACAAACGAAATGGAAAGCGGTACAAACGGGTACAAACGATTAGGAAGCAGCACCCGTTTACAGATTTCGAATATCTTTAAAAATAGCAAAGTTACCCCTTTTGCGAACATTAAATACCCCATATTTCCACCCCCTTAGGGGTACAAACGAAATGGAAAGCGGTACAAATGGGTACAAACGATACTGAATCGAACGGCACCACGAAAATTACGATATCTCAAAGTGGGGTGCTGGTGATTTTTCAACCCTTAATAACTTGCAACCCTTAGGGGTACAAACAAAATAAAAATCGGTACAAACGGGTACAAACGAAGTACAATCGAATGCGTACCTGAAATATCCATTTACTTTAAGTCGGGTGCCAGGTTCACATAGCTCGAGTGGCAGAGGTACAGAGTCTGGTACCAGGCGAACGGTGGAGACATGTTCCGACTGCATCAAACCCGGCTGACGTGGCAACCAGGGGGATTCCGGTCTCGGAGCTTCTTGGTTTAGACCTGTGGTGGAGAGGCCCCGTCTGGCTTCGGGGACCAACCACCGCGTGGCCTGTGGTCGGTGACCTCGGTGCCCATCACGAGGAAGAAGAAAAAAGAGCGGTGCACCTGGCCGTCCCGGAGAATCCGGAGGATCTCTTCGAAAGGAGATTCTCCACTTTGACGCGGCTTGTACGCGTAGTAGCCTACTGTTACAGGTTCTATCACAAGGCTCGAGGTATGAGGGACCAAAGCGATTTCCTGTCCGGCGCCGAGTTGGAGATGGCTCTATCTGTGATGGTGAGGCGGACGCAGCGAAGGGAGTTTCCAGGAGAGCTGGGAGCGCTTACGGCGGGCGGCCTATTGCCCGGTGGCTCGTCTCTGCGAGCATTAAGCCCGTTCTTGGACGAGGATGGGTCCTTACGAGTGGGCGGTCGACTTCAATCGGCTCACCTGCCCTTCTCAGAAAAGCACCCGCTGATACTGCCGAAGGAGGGTTACTTTACCGAGCTGGTCCTTCGCGACGCGCATACGGCGACCCTGCATGGAGGCCCTCAACTCATGCGGAGCTATCTTCTCCGTCGCTTCTGGGTCGTGGGGGTGGCCACTCGGGTCCGAAGGATCGCCCGGGACTGCGTGCGCTGTGCCCGCTTCCGCGCGAAACTAGCGCAACAAAAGATGGGTCAGCTGCCGCCGGAGCGCGTACGCTCCACCAGACCCTTTGCATCGGCGGGGGTCGACTACGATGTTACGCTTTTTTCGCTTATCGACTACGATGTTCAGCTTTTTTTCGCTTATCTTTTGTTAAGTTGCAAATAAAGTGAAGTTCTGTGAAACTAGAACAATTAGTGTCTCTTATAGATACTCCTTCAACCACGCGGACGTTCTCCAAGCTCGAAGCCATTTCGAACCAAGACTTACGCGAACACACATTTATATTAACCAAAATATTATAATTATATATAATAGTTATAATAAGGTTTTTACAGAATATATACATTGATATCAACAAAATAATATTAATGTTACATATTTAACATAACGTTACAATGATGTCATTAAAATTACGTAGTATTTACGAAACTTTTAGAGTATACACATTTATATTAACCAAAATACATAAATGTTACATAACAAAGTAACACCAAAATTGCATAACAAATTCATTACGTTATTGACATAAATGATACGTCATTGTTTTGTTTCGCCGATCTATAACATATACATATATAGATTATTATGTAATTGTTTCGTAAATGATCCCTACGTGTTTACTGGGTATCAGAGATGGCAAAATATCAATTAAATTTTTTATAATTGAACAAATGATATGAACAGATTTAATTAAAATATTTTTAATTGACGATTAATTTTAGAAAGATTAATTAGATTTCGATACAATGACAATTGATATAAGCTAGATTAATCGAAGATCGTTTAATTAACAATTAATATGATCGAAGTCAATTAAAGATTATTTAATTGACAATTGATATAAACGAAATTAATCGGAGAACGATCGATTAAAAATTAATACAAGCTAATTTAATTAAAAGTTTTTTAATTAACGATTAATATGAGTTAATTTTAATTAGAAGTACTTTAATTGACGATTGAAAAAAACAGATTCAATCAAAGACAATTCAATTGACAATTGATTTGAGCAGAAACAATTAAAAAATATTTAATTGACGATTAAATATAGCAAATTTAATGCGAATCTCTTCCATTAATGATTGACTTAAGAAAATCGATATAATTTCTCTATTTCCATTAATTAACAATGTGTAACGATTAATACAATTTAAATTTTAATCGAAGATGTTTGATTGATGATATTAAAATGTCTGAATTTAAATAATATATATCTTTTCCTTGGTTCCAGCAAAGTTATTGTACGTAATAGTTACAATATAAATAATAAATAATTTACGTTTTTTAAACCATATTTTTATTCAGAACATTTTCAATTCATTATACATTTTATTATATTTAATTTAATTATATTTAATGTTAATATATATTTCTCGCATTTTTTTTCATTTGTTTTAAAATAATAAATGTATAATATGTTATAATAAAATGTGTTGTACATATATACAATATATATTATAATTCAAAATTATTAATCAAATGTAAATATTGCAGGAAGTTTGGTAATATAACGAAGTGTAACCATACAGTTTCCTTCTGGAGAACATTTCTGCATTCAACTAGGTAACCATTTCACAATGTTTTTACATATTACATTCAAATTGTGTTTATTTATTATAAATAAATTATTAAAAAGAAATATTGAAAAATATTGAATAACATAATTAGAATACGTTGTATATAAATATTTATATAAATGGTCTTGTTTTAAAATTGTATTATTATTTAAATGCTTAGAATGTATATATTTTGTTATTATGTATTTATTTATATATTTATATTTTTTTTATATTGAAAAGATTCATTTTTCTTTTTCCTTTTTTTAAATTAATAAATTTTATTAAATATTTGTTTGCCAATTAAACAAAAATGTAATCGTACACCAGCAATTACTTTTCAAAATATTATTTTTCTTGTGTGTGAATAGTTTCATATAATATCTGGATTGCAAATATATTGTTATAATAGTTTTGTTGCATATCTATTATGCATATAATTATTTATAATAAATAAACACAATTTGAATGTAATATGTAAAAACATTGTGAAATGGTTACCTAGTTGAATGCAGAAATGTTCTCCAGAAGGAAACTGTATGGTTACACTTCGTTGTATTACCAAACTTTCTGCAATATTTACATTTGATTAATAATTTTGAATTATAATATATATTGTATATATGTACAACACATTTTATTATAACATATTATACATTTATTATTTTAGAACAAATGAAAAAAAATTCGAGAAATATATATTAACATTAAATATAATTAAATTAAATATAATAAAATGTATAATGAATTGAAAATGTTCTGAATAAAAATATGGTTTAAAAAACGTAAATTATTTATTATTTATATTGTAACTATTACGTACAATAACTTTGCTAGAATCAAGGAAAAGATATATATTATTTAAATTCAGTCATATTAATATCATCAATCAAACATCTTCGATTAAAATTTAAATTGTATTAATCGTTACACATTGTTAATTAATGGAAATAGAGAAATTATATCGATTTTCTTAAGTCAATCATTAATGGAAGAGATTCGCATTAAATTTGCTATATTTAATCGTCAATTAAATATTTTTTAATTGTTTCTGCTCAAATCAATTGTCAATTGAATTGTCTTCGATTGAATCTGTTTTTTTCAATCGTCAATTAAAGAACTTCTAATTAAAATTAACTCATATTAATCGTTAATTAAAAAACTTTTAATTAAATTAGCTTGTATTAATTGTTAATCGATCGTTCTCCGATTAATTTTGTTTATATCAATTGTCAATTAAATAATCTTTAATTGATTTCGATCATATTAATTGTTAATTAAACGATCTTCGATTAATCTAGCTTATATCAATTTAATTAAATTAAAATTTAACTAACCTCTACGATAGTCGGCGGCAACGAGGCCGGCGGCGACGGGCTCGGCGGCGACGTGGTCGGCTTCATTCATCGGTATCTGAAATGTATAAAGAGTATTAGTTTTTTATAATAAAAAATAATAGTATTTTATAATGAAAAATAATATACTTACATCTGCTATTTCGGTGTTTGAGTACATCTGGAATTATAATAAAATGAAATAAGATCTGGATATTTCGAACACCTGATATAACGAGTCGATGCGCGTAAACAAGTTTTTATGCGCGAACGACAAGAGTAACATTAAAGTACGTCCGAAATATATCTATTGCAAAACTATATGTAAAATCATAATTATAATCACGGAACCAATAAATAAGATGCGAATATCTCAAAAATTCACGAAAAGATCCCGAAAAGTTCATAAAAATGACAATGTTCCGTCGCTTAATGCTAGTCGTTCTCGCGAAATAAATTATTAATAATAAACGAACTTAATTGCTGACTACTAATTAACTGATTCTACATTTCATTAAAGACGATGATGATGTTAGAACGATAGTTTACAGAATCTTATATGTATATGACTTACCGAAGTTAGTTGCTGAGATGTTAGTCTTTCTTCTCACGACCACAAACTGATTAGACCGCAGGCTGCGCGACAGGGGTGCGTAATCGTGCGGCTTGTATTTAGAATGGTATGTTCGATGCCACGCGTTTCACACGTGTTGTTCTTGGCCGCGTGTTCATATCATCGATGTTTTCGACAATTTTCGGTGCGACGAAATAATCGCTGCTTTAATCAGGTAATGATTTTATATTGTACGTATCAAAATATTTATTATAAATAAATTTGTGAATATGTGTGAATTGATGAAGTTAATGTGTAAAGTTATAAGATAATTAATTCTTTATATATTTGAATTATAATTAAATATTAATTTTATAATAGTACAGACACACACATACACACACACACACACACACTCACGCGCGCTTATGTCCGTGTGTTGATACGTATATCTATATTCTTTAATTAATATTTAAATTTATATTGTACATATGCAGAATATATATGCAGGATATCACAGAATTAGTAGTAAACCTGTTAATGGAAGATTCTTGAGATAATTGGGAGACGATTTTGCTTCTAACTATATTGATATATAAATTTATAAACTATATAGTTTTTTTCAAAAATTTTGATTTTTCTCAATATTTTATATACAAAATTTTTGAAACAAGATCGACGAAAAATTAATATTTTATGAGATACTTACGTTCATGCAAAATAATGTGTTAAAGATGTAAAATACCCTGTTAAATATTCTCTTTGTGATTATCTTATTCTTACAACTTATTGTTTTAATAATTATATTTCACTTTTACGCGATATTTTTATTCTTTTTATTATTCCCCTTATTTCTATATGTGTATATCGTCTATAATTCTTATAATTTCTTTTTTTTTAATTGCATCTTTTGCTATTTTTTATTTGTTTTCGAATTATTACCCTGTATACATATATATATATATAATTTTTCTTTATAAAATCAATAAAATCAATGTTTACAAGCAACTATTATAATAAATATATATATTTAAAATACATCTAATATATATAATTTTGATTTAAATCGTAGCACCCTTTATACTGCGCATGATGCAACACGCCTTAACCGAACAAATATTTTGGAAAATCGTTCGTTTATATACAAACAGCAAGTGAGTAATACAATATAGAATTAATAATATAAAAAAAATAAAATTACATAACTTAAATAATGTATAATAATAGAAGTTTTATAAAATGTCCCTTAATTTTCTTGCTTCTTCTGACATTATTTCATAATGGTGTTTTTTAGTTTTACAATTCCGCTATTTTTCTTGTTTTTCTACTAAATTTATTTTTAATTTCATTATTTTTACTATGAAAACCGCTTTTGTAGAAAGAAGTTGTTGATTTATCGTTGTCTCTCTTTCATATGCAGCTTCATTGTTGTTTTGTTTATTTTTGTTTCATAATTTGTTATTTTTTGAAAATAATTTTTAAAATTATTTTTATTCTTTTTATTATTTCCCTTATTTATATATATGTATATTGTCCATAATTCTTATAATTTCTTTTCTTTTAATTGCATCTATTGCTATTTTTTATTTGTTTTCTAATCTTTTTTAACAGGTTATTAAATATCTAACATCTCTTTTCCATTACCTTCTCCATTTTTCATTATTCTTCTCTCGTAGATCTACCTACTTATTTTTCTGATTTTTTGTTTTGTCTTTATTTTCTTTTAATTTGTTTTGTTATTGTTCAAAATCATTTTATAACTCTCCCAATACTTTGTTCAAATATAATCTGTTTTAGTGCTTTAATGAAAAATTAAATAATATATTATTTAATTGCATTTAAAATTATGTTATATTCTTTATTATCATAATATAAATATAAGATATTGTTGTGTGCCTCGGGAGAGACACCAGGGGGTCGCGCCAAATTGGGATGGGAATCCGGGGCGTCAGGACTTGTCGGGTGTTTGTAGAAAATGCACTGTACTTGTCTTATTAAAATTCTTTATTCAACTTCAACCACTTGGCCTTTATTTATTTCACTAATAATACACTGAAGCTTTGCCGGGTGTGCGGCACTGACTTTCCGTCACTCCGCGTATCGCGCACAACTGCGAGTCGATGCTAAGTGCGCGCGCGGTTAGCGAGATCGTGGTTAGAGCGATTGTTTGTGTCTGCGACTGAGCGAGTTGTCGCGTCTCTACTCTCTTTTTATATCGTTGTTTTTTAGAGTTTTCCCGATCGGAAGGGGTGCCTGGCAACAGGTTTCCCCGGTCGAGAATCTAGGTGCAAGCGAAAATCTTCCAGATTTTTCATCGCGTCGTCAGCTTCTATCGGATTACAATCCAGTTCATCGTCATCGGATTTGTCTCTGTCTGCTGTTTTCAGATCATTTTCGCGCTTCTCGATTAATTCAGCAACGTTCTCAAAAGCTTTCTGTATTTCTTCGAGCCTTTCGTGATATTTCATTGCCTTCGTTAAAACAGACTCTGAATTCTTAAAGGCATCCGTGTAAGTCTCGAATGTACCTTTGAGTTCACTCAAATCTCTCCATGGTTTGAACAGAAGAAGCAGCGAGTAAAAGTATTTTTCGGGCTCAGTTTTTATATTAAATCGATAATGGTTAATTAAATAACCCTTTTTTCGTTTTTTTAAAAATAAACCCGATGCCAGTTTGTAACACTTGACTTCGTCATTATTTGACATCTGTTTCGTAATTTCCCAGAATCTGGCAAAATCGTACAAATTCAATGATTCTAATTCCTGAGGTCTATTTGGATAGTAATCATCGATGAGTGACGAACAGTAAATATTCGTAGAATTTTCATCGAGAGCTTTAATTTCATTAAATGTTTTAACTTTTCTATTTCTCACCTCATTAACATCGATCCATTTGACCACGGTATCATTATCCGTACCGTACAAGGGATTCCCAATAGTGTATCCGCAGCTTCTAAAGCACCGCATTCTCTGTTATTTAATGAACGCATTGCAAAATTCCACAGTTTCGATGCCAAGGACTTATTCGAATCTATCACTTCAAAGTCTGTATTGCATTTTTCCGACTTTGTCGTGTATTTTGTTAAATATGAGTTTAAAAACTCTGATTTTTCTCTAATAAATTGTATGTCCATATTTCCCTCCCAGGCTAATTTGATAGCCGGATTATAATCATTTATAAACCTTTCCGACTCCTTGCGAGGAAGATCGTACAATCTGCTCTTACTGCGTAAATTTTTTCTACCGACTATCAAAGTGATAACGTCTCTTAAAACGAAATTCTCAGTAACTGGCCGAGGAAAATCGAACCGACACTTTCTGTATATATTAGTTGCCGTTTTTTTCGTACGCATGCAATACGAGTTATGTTTATGATTCTGATCACTTATTACCGTATCGTACAACGTTGGCGAAACATTTTCATCTGGAATTTCACACGTTACGTATTTTCGAATAAACGTAGCAACTTCTTCATCCGGCGATTTTCCTAATACTGGAGCATCTTTTATCCAAATTATACAATGCATGTGCTGGATACTTCTACGTTGATATTCCAGTCGCCAGAAGTAATGAATAACCTTTCCTATAGGATTATCGGACGAACAAATAAAATCAATCATGGCTTTGAATTTTATGCACATGAATCTAGAAGTACTTACAGGATCGTATGCGATTAGTTCGTTGATGCCTAACTTCTCTTTATCGGGATTCATATCTCGTAAATATTCACCCAAATCGGACCATTTCCATTCACTAGGACTCAAAGTCAAAAACCACGTCGCTGGACCGTAATGCAAAGTCATGCATTTTACATTATTGGACGGTTGTCGCCAAAATTGATCCGTATTTCTCAATTTTGCGAAAATACTCATTAAATTCGATTCTAATTCGTAACCTTTCAATTCGTTCAAGTATCTACCAGCAGTGTATCTCTCTCGTGGGTTAGTAACCATCATCGTATAATAGATACCAGTTTTCAACTGTCGGTAGTTAGCATCATTGAGAAGGAAAAACAGATACTGCAGATTCAACCTGAATCTACTATGTTTCGACATCAATCGTGTTCTAATAAATAAATATTCCGGCAATGCAAAGTTTCTATCTTCTCGTTGTCCATTGACACCATCAGGATATAAATCAGGGAAACACATGACATCCAGATATTTATAACGATTATCCATTGGAAAATCTTCAATTTTCATCATTTGATAAAGCTTCAATGCAGATTCGTTATCGATTCTTTTCGCGTGTATTGGGTATATTGTATACTGATCGTTAATATCCGAATCTTCAGTGATTTGTGTGAGGAAAGCCCTACGTTTTAAAACGATTTGATCATTATTATTTTTGTTTTCCTGTACATTGTACAAATTCAATGCTGGTAATTCCTCAACCACCTCATTTATTTCGTCATTGTCGCTTTTGTGATCGACAATCCGATATTCTGTTTCCTGCAACTTATCATTTAATAGATCATCAGATGACGCCGGAAGACGAATTTTCGAGTAATGAGGATTATTTTCTTTCAACCATTGTAAAGCCTTATACACTTTATTAATATCTACCAAATTTTCCCAAACCACTTTAGATTTCTTGGGTATACCTCGAACGAGAATTCAACTCGTGATTCAAATTTATAGGATTTTCCGGAGGACATACCTTATCCAATGTTTCTTGTAAAGGTAAAGGCAAATGAAATGTTCTACCTTTTACTTTGCGGATCATTTGTCTATGCGGTATATGTTTGTTCGAAACATTGCCCATCAATTGCACTACTTGAAAGCTGTTCATTCTTTTGATTAACATTTTTTCGTAATCATTGAAATCTGACAAAACATCTGGTAATGGTTTTACCGCAAGATTATTCAAAATGCAAGTAGAAGGCAACACGCCTTTTTGAAATTTACCCAAACAAAGCTTACAAACGAATTCAGTATTATTACTGTATTCTGTTACGTTTGCTATCAGATCTTTCCAAAAAGGTCCGTCTATTGTTTTCCTCAGCTTCTCGAGCTTAGAAACGTCTCTTCTCAAGCATAATTTTTCGCAAGAGATGCAAGGGATACGTGGTAAATCCAACAATCGCTTTTTCATGACTTTAAATGCTTCGTAATTT